ATCAATTCCATACCTTTTTTACCTATATTCCGCACAGATGGCGGGGAGTTTAACCTATATTCCGCACAGATGGCGGGGAGTTTAACCTATATTCCGCACAGATGGCGGGGAGTTTAACCTATATTCCGCACAGATGACGGGGAGTTTAACCTATATTCCGCACAGATGGCGGGTAGTTCCATTCACAAACACATACCTATTTCCCAACACAGATGGTGGGTACTAACATTCACACACACATAGATTTACGCAATAGTTACCAAGTTCGAGAGAACCTTACCGAGAGCAAAAACCCAGCTCTGAGGGAGAGAGCGTTACCGAGAGCCAATATACCAGGGGATCCCCCCCCCCCTCTCTCCCTCTCTCCAAAAAGCAAAGTTCCTCCTCATCTGCCAGTGTCTTTATGCTCGAAAACAGGATAGAAAAACCTAAAGACACCTCCTCCATACCCATATTTGTGGAAACTGGGCATGGCCTCTGATGTAAAGAACTGGACATGACCAGACATATTCTATGGCTCTGGCATAAGACACACCTTCCCATGTTTGTGTAAAAAGGACATGACCCCTACTCTGCAGGACTTGCAAAATATTATTCTCGGCTATGACATAACCACCTTTTTGGGGCCTCAATGTATTTCTCCTTAAGTCAGGAGCCCCCCTCCCTGTGTACTGCTGTGAGGGGAGAGGGAAGAAACTGCCTCTTCTCTTATCAGTGACACCCATAAACCATTATAGGCCTTACACACTCAACTTAACAAACCACTTGTTTTTTGTTTATACTGTAAATATAGAACATCATAAAATATGAAGCATTTTCATTGTGGGTTATACAAGAATATAATTGATTATATTTGATTATAACTAACTTTCGTTTTAAGTATTCATCCTAATATGGAGATCTCAACACCCTCTTTTTAAAACGCAAAGTTATCAAAACAGCAACAGATAAAACAGTAGTGTGTGGATGGCAGAAGACACTACACTACCCAGAATCCTCAGCTATGGGACTACACCATGTGCTTAGAACGTGTCCTACCCCCCCCCCAAGCCAACAATCAGGCGAGATATTTGGTAGTGGGTGCTTGAGAAGACTAAATATTTATCTGCAGATCCCTATAAAGCATATTTATTACTCGTTATTCTCTACTAATAGTTAATTAAAAACTGTATATAATGGCTATTTTGCACATCCCTTTCAAGATTTCAAGATTTTCTAAGGTTTATTGACATATCATATACACAACTACGGTGTAGTTATGCAATGAATGAAAAACTTGGGTCACAGGTTCCTCAACAGTGCATTACAAGACATCTATCAATATCTGTGTACCTCCACCATTAAACATATTCTGCACCTTTCTTATACTATCTACATACATCTTATAAGAGTATAATTAATATGTATAATATCAGTTAAAATAAGTGCTTCAACATAGTTAACATTGCAGGAAAGTTGATTGTCAAGTTCCAAAACAAACCATGCAATATATTAGACGTTAAGTACTTTGTCAGGCTTAATATCTGTAGATACCCCCAAAGCTTTTTTCTTATTTAAAAGAAGACCTTAATCTAAAGTATTCTTTAATGTTTAAATAAAGCCTTATTAGTTTGTCTGTTTTGCACATCCTCCTATCAGGCACTAAACTGTTTTATTGTAGAGATCACTTACAGTATCTTCTTGATATTTTCTATTCTATATTATTTATATCATTGACATTCCACTTTCCCACTATATTAAGAGTATGTATTCTTAATATTTAAATGTTTTCATCAAATATAACACATTCAAAAGTGCTTTACAAAAATGAAAGACATTAAGAAAAAGGCATTTTAAAACAGTCATTAAAAAGCAACACAATCTACCTGCATTGCAATGACTCTAAACGTGTAATAACGTGCTTTAACCAGCAGGAGGTGCGGGTTAAAAAGCTGTCAAGTTTACAGTGTTAACAAAATAAAATATACTGCTGTTTCTGGTTTAGTTTACGACGGATATATTCTGTTATTGTTTTGATATTTGTAACACAAAAGCGATGTAAAAAACCCACAGCAACACAGAAAAGATGGTCATGTAGTGCCGAGAGAAGGGAGTCGGAGGCGGTGCATCGAAGGTGCAAATCTGGCTTTAATGAGCGACAGAAATGGACATGCTGTCGGGTCGCAGCCCGGGAAGAGAAGAGAAAGCGAAAGGGAGGACACACAGTAGGTACACAGTAGGTACCGTCAACATATGTGTCCGTGCGGAAACAATACCCCCAACCTGTAGTTCCATGAGTGAATTATGTAACCTAGTTAATTAGTGATCACTACAGTCTTAACATGACCCAGCGGTCTAGTAGTTAATAAAAAACAATAATATCAAAACAAATTATTACTACTAACTTTATTGTGAAATTAAAACAGAACGGTAAAAGAATAGTTTCCGGTCTATTCTGAGGCCCGATCTCTGTAGATAAATAAAGAACTACGACAGATGTGTAATGTTTAATGCAGCCAAACCATTCATTACAATGCATTCATGTGATGACTTTCAAAGAGTAAAGCAAGCACTGCTGAATAAAGTATGATTTGATCTTTTACAAAACGTTTTTTTTCATATGGAATGCAGTTGGAGGTCAACCAATCACAGAGCTTGAGGCAAAGCGGAACAATAGCTGAGGATTCTGGGTAGTGTAGTGTCTTCGGCCATCCTAAACTCTGAACAAATATTTGTTTCTCCGAATCGAAGGGGAAAATTACAAAAGCATTGCACACAATTTAAACCAATCAATGTTGTGTAATTAACAAGGATAATCTGGTGTTTTTGAGTCGATGAGTAGTGCAGATATCACTGTAAAATCAATCGACAGTAAGGAGATTACTTACTTCCGGGTGTAAAATCCTCCGTTATTCAATGGGAATGGATGCTCACATTGATTGATTGATTGATTGAAAAGTTTATTAACTGCTTGTATATTGGGTACAGTACATTGCTCTCTGCGTCCGTAATACAATAAAGGGGACTTGATCAAATAGGAATATAATTATCTTTTAAATAACGTGAACTAAAGGGAACAATCTATTCGACACAGCTGAAGCTCTGGCCTTCCTTAAAAACTAACTAATTTAATAAAAATCACAGTTGTATTACACACAATGCACTGTTTTTTTAGAACAAAAATTCGTAACTAATGCACCATAATACATTCTGACGAAAAATAAAAATGATTATGAATACAAATAAAATAAAAGAAGCCTCCCGTGAGTTACTACAAGCTATAAAGTAGATTTTACAAACGTTTTATAGAATAAAAGCTCACTGCTGGATGTTGTAGAAATGCGTGTGTGCACCACGACAAAGGAGCCTCATTCACTTTAAGGCCCTGACACACCAGGCAGTCACCAGAGAACTCGCCGACACCGACACCGACAGTTCCATCGACGAGTTCTCCTGCGTCTTGACCGTGTGTCGCACTGGAACACACCGCAAAGACTTCAGCCGAGCACGTACGAACTGCGCATGAGTGAGTGGCAATAACTGTCCTTACCAGCAGGCGGTGGTAGTGTGTATTCGTCATTCAAAAGAGACAACAACCGGAAGAAAGAGAAGAAGAACAGACTGTGATATAAACAAACAAATAGCGTGTGCGTTCCATTTTCACTCTCGTCCATCGAAAACATGTTTTAGAATATAAAAATACATGAATGATGAAATGAGCACATAAAGTGCAGACATACTATAAAATCACAGTTAATAGACCTGCATCTGATGATCGCAGTGTTCTGGTGGGTGTGTAGTTTATTGAGTCAGCAATGTAGTAATGTATGTAATGTAATAATGGCCACTTCTTGCTAAATTTACATTTCCATGTGATGCTTTTATCCGAGGCGACTCACAATAGGTAAATGAACAGCAGTAGACAGTATCTCATTTACTTAGACACTGTACTTAAGGACAATGTTGAGGTACTTGAGACTAATCCTGCAACTTTATACTGACAAATAAACCGGACTTGACCAAACAAATCACGGAGCTCTCAGCAGAGGACAGCCGGGGACGCTCCCGCCGATATCAGAGATGTCCCTGCTATGTGTGGGAGGTAAGAGAGGACATTTAAGGGCTATGTTTGATGTCTTTAAGTATCACCTGCTGGTGTTTAGCTGCTATCCTGTGCCTTAAATCGTTTGTTTACGTCCCTCACTTCCGTTTCGCTTCTCATTTGCTAGCTGAACAGCTGATCAGAGTGGTTTCTTGGCCCGATAGCTTGTGTCCGTATTTTGGCCGATTCAACATGTTGAATAGGCCATGTGTCGACCGTGAAAGGCCAAATAAGGCGTGTCACGGCCGAGGGTTCGGGACACACCAAATTGACTTTGGGCGACAAGGAACGCGTTGTCGCCAGGCAACGCAAGACGGCCGAATACGGCCTGGTGTGTCAGGGCCTTTACATTGGGGTTGTTTGCGTGGTGCAGACACGTAAATGTAGCAAAGTTCGTGACTCCACCACGCACTGCGGTGTTAAGGAGTCGTGGTGGAGTCACGCATTCTGGTGAGACCAGGTTGGTTAATTTAGTGCTTTTCTAGCATATCGCACAGCCGAATTCACAAAAATGGGCAATTGTGTAAAATGTTTAAATTGTCACTGTTAGAAACCTATGATTATTCATGTAGGCCTATTCCGTTTTAATCTGTTTAATCTCTGTTAACTCTGCATCTGTTATTGTTATACAATCCGGTGCGCAGTGCGCGCTATAAAGTTCAAGTGCGTTGTTATTGCTACCCGGCTGCGTCTCAATCAACAATAAATCGTCTTCTGATTAGAAAAAAACCTGCTGCATTTCGTGTGTGAAATTCCCCCCCCCCCGCACCCGTACCCCGCACCCCCAGCTCTGACTGACTTCCCGCGTCCCTGCTTTAATGTCTACAGATGTGCAGGTGCTAGATACAAAGACTTCGTAAATGTTGGGTTTGACTGCTGTTCCTTCATTTGGTGCAACAATAAACACTCAGACACATGATGCCTTGAAAATAAATAAACTATATTCAAATAAGGTCAATTTGACTTAATTAAAGACCTTCATTATCTTTCGGTAACACATTAGACCTCATGCCATTATCTCAAAAACAAGTTGTCGTTTTTCAAATATTGTTTTTATGCATTTCATAAGAAAACTTATATATCAGCTTCAGTTAATAATTTATTACAGTATTGAATACATTTTTATGTCTATCACATGATATCGGAGTAACTCAGTCATTGTTTTCCTACTAAAGTTCAGGCAGAGAGAGACATTTTCATCATCACAGGAAAAATCTTCACAGAGACACATTGAAGAGCAAGACCTTGGGGGCTGGGACACATGGGAGAACAAGAAGAGGAGGGGCACTAACACAGACACAGAAATATCGTACACCAACAAACAAAAAGAAGACCTGGGATGTTGCTCGTTGCAGACTTAGCCCGCTTAGCACGCTCTCACAGCTTTTAAAGGTAACAAAACAAGTAAGCAGTGGACACTGGCCCATAAATGCCTCTGTGTGTGTTATCTTCAGTATATCTGTATGGAGTAGAGTATATGTGTGCCACTTGCTCATTTTATTTCACAGAGAGCCTCTGGTGTTTGCGATTCCAAACTGTGGGAAATTACAAGTGTGCCAATAGGCGTCCATCACAGTAGACCATGCTGCTAACACACAAACACGGGGATTCAACATGCATCTGCAGAGGAACACGGAAGGGAAGCAAACACAGACACACACTGGGGAGGGGGTGGGGAAGAGAGGCATCACATCAAGCTACAGAACAGCAAAGGCCGAAGCCAGACAGTTAGTTCAGAAGTTCATGGAAACACGGAACATTGTCCGGACATTGTAGAGTTCTGTGTTTAGGTGCTGAGCCACACCTGCAGGGACAGGGCACGCCGTCTACATTCTGTACCGCTGGTGCTGATCATTCTTACACAAGAGTCCAGCAGATCTGTGTGCATGTGTATCTGTGTTTGTGTGTGTGTGTGTTTAATGAGTAGATCTAAGCTACTGAAGCGACCTCACACACCACTGACCTGCCCCACAGACACCGTTAATATCAACAAAAAGTTCTTCTTTAGCTCATGACGACCCACAATTGACAATTATACTCACAATGTTCCACAGTTTCTTCATGTAAACATGCTACTTAGACTCAAAACTCCTCCTCTGAGAGAACTGAAAGGATAAATGTACGTTGGCGGAGCGTTACAACAAACGCCGGAGTAGAAGAAAATGTGAACTGTCCTCTCGTCAAAGCTACTAAAGAGATGAGATGTGTTTTAATAGTTTTCTGTATTGCACATTGAAACCACACTCCTTGAACTAAACTCCAAACTGTCCGCCTCAAGGACCTGCGGCACAGCTAATCTATAGATAAATAATCTTCTTGTAAATAAATAAATATCTAAGTAAATGATCTTATCCATAAGTAACATAGACACAAACATGTAAATTAGATGGATTATGTGTGGTTAAAATACACTACACTGTTTGAGCAGTTCAAAGGGAAGCTTCCTCGCTGTGGAAAATATATCAAAATCTAATCTACTAAATTTACTAAGGATGTAATCAACACTACCAATCGTAATATATCGATACCATTCTAAACATTGTTTAGAAGTACAAAAAAATGTACTTCAGCTATATTGGCAAGGAAAGGATACAAAATCTGTTTTAGAAAGTTTACAAAGTATAGTTAGTCAAGGGTTAACGAATCCAATCTTTCTGATATTATTGTGTGTAACAATAGATATAACAAATTCCACCTGGATAGCACTTTTGTGGGTGAAATGCTTGTGATGCACCCGCAGCACAGGGCAGGGTATGTAAAGTGACTGATATTAAAGGTGGGGTAGGTAATTCACTTCAGATACACTTTTTGTTATATTCCATGGAATGCTCTTAACATCCCGATAGCAATGAATATATTAAATGCTTTGACAATAAATCCATAAAAAAATGTCATCTGTGGAAGCCGTAGTACTGTAAAAAGCACGACCAATCATTTTAGCCGGCCCGGCTAAAATAACTGGATGTCCTACCTGCCTGTCAGCCTTCCATCTGTGCACAAAGTTATCTCGTGCCCTCATTGGTCATGTGCGCGTTCGTGTGTGTTGGAGGAGGGGCTCTGTAAGGAAGTCTGAAGGAAGGGGCATATTTTTTCCGGTTGTGTACTTTCAAATTCTAGCGCACTCGAGCTGGTTTCTCCATTCTTACCTACCCTACCTTCAAGCATTGAATATTACAGTAAATATAATGGTAACTGATGGGACGCCGTATTGAATCAACTCTTCCCCATGTAGAAAAGGATGCAGGACTCTGGATGCTTCTAGCTTCTTTAATATTATACTATGAGGTTTTCTTGCTACATTAGCTATGACTTTATTTTTTCATGGACTGACCTCTCAGCTTTATGTATCTTAAAGTTGAAAGTGATAAAGCTGAACTGTTGGTGTGTCGATGCCACTTTAGATTTAACAGTTTTGCACTTCTCTAGTTGATTTTACTGTCTATATAGCAGCCAGTAGCTTCAGAAGCTTATGAACATTTGTATTGTATGTTCCAACTCTGCCATGCATTACTGAGCGACAGTGAGGTTTTATTCACTAAAAACAGCCAACACTATGGTACTATGACTATAGAAACTGTGTTTTATTCAAATGCAAAGTGAGACTGCGGCTTCTGTGCAGATTTACTCTTTTGGATGCGAACGCGTGATTTGAAAATGGAAAGCATTGTCTGCTGCTGACCTACAGACTGTAAACAGGAGAATGTTAGATGATAGACCTTAGTTTGTTTGCAAGTAAGTTCTTTTGAAACAGTGTGCACACCTTCCATTAAAATGGAAAGTAATTTTAAGCATGTCTGGTTCTTGTATTGAATTGCACTAAGAAAACAGTGTGTTTCAGTTACATCAGATAAAGTGCAGCTCTGTACAGCTGAAAGCTTGAATACTGGATTTGTACTTGAGAATTGTATCTTAAGGCATTGTAAGGGTGCCATCTTGAAAATGTTAGTGGTTGAGACCGGCATCCTGCATCCTAATTTGAGTGTAGCTTAGGATCTTGTGTGTGGATCATTATGCTGTAGACTTGATGATGATTGGAATCTGTTTTGTCCGTTTTTTTAAGACTATATTGTAATGTACTAGCTTCATAGGCTTCACTGTTGAAAGTAAACTAACACTGTTAAGTCTTGTTTGACCACCCATGCATGTTTGCCTGTCCGTGCTGCTGTCACTGAAGGTAATTAAAGGAAACATGCCGCAGTAATGGGTTGCTCTGTTTCCACATTACTGAAGGAGTTCCGTCATCTCAGTCTGTCTGGATGGAGCCTCCAACCAAGTTCCACACAGCACACATTTGACCTTTGAGGAGAACAAAATGCCCTTTTTGTTTCCCTCAGAACAAACGCCTCTCCTCCCTCCTGTGTGCCTGCACACTCAGCTTTATACAGGTAAAGTGGACATATCATTAAAAACTCAAAATTCAGATAGAAACCTAAAAGGCCAGTATAAACCTGAAAGTGAGCATTATATGTCTGATTTAACATCAGGGATGTCATTTACAGGTGTATTCTGATCGTTTCCTTTTACATAGTATTTCTGCTTGACTATTTGTGTGTCTGTATCTGGCTATACATGCCAAATCTGTTGGTTTGGTGTACAAACATCTGAGAGACACATCTGACTTGAACGCAGTATGTAGGGGATATGGCTGTTTTATTTCACCAGTGTGGCATTCATCTGTTTGGGCAGCTAACACTTTTACTGCCTAATATTATGATTCCAAAAATGTTCACCATTATAATGTTGGGGATCTGTGGTGTTTCTTCTGCATGGATATAAAAAAGGTGGAAGCAGAGACCTGATGGTGGTGTTTTCTTTTCTTTTCTCTGTAATATGACTAATTGTACAGAACAGTAGCTACATATTTCCTCCCTGTCTAACTTGGTCAATGGTAGGCATCATCTGCCTACTGAAAACACAACACTCTATATGTACAGCACACTGGTTTCATTATTTACAGCGCGTGTGGAGAACCGCGTTCTTCTGTACAGTGTATTAGATCAGCATCACCACTTTATAAGAACCTCCAGTGGTAAACATACTTAATGCTATTGTTATTGTAAACATTCCACTCCTTTTCAGACAGCGTTTCACCTCCTCAGTTGACTGTACCAGTAAAGATGGGGGGGGGAGCAGGTTTTTTTGTTGAGGAAACTAAAGTGTTGTTCCTTCAATGCAACTGATGGATACATTTAGTCTGATGTGCACAGGTTTCTTCTCTATCAGCGGTCTGATCCTACAGGGCAACCCACCCCCCCGGCTGTAGAAAAGAATGAGACAGCACTCCAGAGGCTCATCTGACCTTTCTCACCTCGAAAATCTCAACTTCACATTCACTCTTTCTCTCTCAGTCTGCGCTCTGCTTACTTTGTTGCAGTAACCTCTTGTGTTCACTAACCTTAACACTTCACTAACACTTCCTCTCGCCCTTTATCATGCCTGTAACTGCCTGTGTGTGTTTGTTATGATCTGTTTACACATGCGTACATAGTGTGTGTGTGTGTGTGTGTGAATATGTATCTGAAGTGTTTTAGTATCCCTGCATTAAAAGCCGGAACACTTCCAAACATCTCACACTTGTTTCATGTAGAACTGTGTACTGTATGGACTGAGTGTTAAAGTATATGTTTGTGTTGCTGTGCAATATTCTTTCAGAACATTTTCCATCTTCTTTTTAAAAGCCGCTGATGTGGCAGTAGGCCTCCAGGCTGGAGAAGAGGATGTAGAGGAACCACAAGCCCAGGAACAGCAGGCTGGTGGCGATGCGGGCCCTCCTTGGCCCCCCGAGCTCCCCCCCGATAGAGGGCCGGCGTCTGAACAGGAGCACGCCCATGCAGATGAAAGCGAAGATGGTGAAGAGAGTGACGGAGAAGGCCAGCGACCCTGGGTCCACCCTGAACTCCTTCCCTTTGACTTTCCAGTAGACGGCGGCCACCGTCCACGCCACGCCGATCCCCAGGAACACGTTGACAGCGTTGCTACCGGTGACGTTACCAACAGACGCATCAGCATGCTGGTCCTGCATGGCGGCCACTTTGCTGGCAAAGGTGTCTGAAATGAGAGAAAGAGGTGTGAGAGTGATCCATGCACCTCGATGAACTGTTGCATCGACCCCGAATGAACATTCCTGCTGATAAAACGATGTTTGAATATGCGCACGTGAATCATTGCAAATCAAATGCTACAGTTTTGTTTGCAGTGTGAATGTTCATTTTCACACAGAAAAATCAACTTCTCATCATGAGAGAGTGACTGAGGATATAGGCCATTGATGTTATCTTAGTTGTTATTATGCAAATTAAGGTCATATTTGTGGTGGGAGTTGTTTGATAAGACTTAAACTGAATCTATAGAAAGTTATGAGGACACAACATTTCTGCTGGTCTCTGCACTTTCTACATATTTCACCCGTATGACCTTCTACACCTCACACAGCGAATGAGGATTCGCTCACCTGGAATAGAGGTTCCCAGCGCCACGAACACCACGGCGGTCACGGTGTCCCGCAGCCCCACGGTGCAGCCGAAGTGTGACGCCAGATCCCCGATGAAGGCGGTGAGGAGGCCGATGGTGCTGATGGAGAACAAGAAGCAGGCCCAGCCGTTCCAGTACTCTGTGGGCGGGACGCAGGCGAACAAAACCTTCCAGAAGACGGTGACGAAATGCATGAAGTAGTCGTAACAAGATGGAAGACGCTCTTCACTACCCTCTTCGTCATCGTCGCCATCACCTGTGAGGAAAACATCAGACCACATCACAGAGAAGATTAGAGTGGAAAGAGGCTTAAAAACATGAAAGATGTACGGAAACTTGTCCGGAAGTATACTGACTGAATTCATGTTAAAATACAAATCTACCTAAAAGTAGAAGTACCAGACACACACACACGCACGCGCACGCACACACACACGCACGCGCGCGCGCACGCACGCACGCACGCACGCACGCACGCACGCACGCACGCACGCACGCACGCACGCACACACACACACACACACACACACACACACACACACACACACACACACGCACACAAACATCCTGTCAAACTTTTGGGTTTGATGTGAATCTATGTATGCCGTCAGCACTCTATTCCCTGCTTCTCTCTCTCTGGGTCCTTCTGTTTTCATCATGTTCCATTTCTCTATGCTAAATCAAAACACTCTTTCTTAGTTGTATCTGTAAAACAATAACCTCTTCAGCAGATAACATGTTATTCAATTAAAGAGATTGATGGACATCAGACTGGCTTTTCAAAGCGTGGGCATTACTCTTCTCTTATTTTAGAACAATAATGACTGTCCGTGCCTTGTAGAGAGTGTGTTTGGATGCTTGTCACTGCTCTGTATCCACCCTCCCCTCCTGACACACTCCTCACACACGTGTTCTCTGCAGGTGTGTGGTCACGGCTTCAACGCTGGTGAGTTGGGACCAGCAACTATCGTTGGCAGCGCCGCCTTCAACATGTTTGTGATCTTGGGGATCTGTGTGTGGACGATCACACACACACACACAACTCACCTGCGCTGACAGTGACCGCCTCCACAAACTGCTCCCTCCAGGAGTGTGTGCCGATCACCAGCGCCAGGTTGGTCTTCTTAATGAGCTTGTCCACGGTGCTCTGCCAATCAGGAGCAAAACACACACTTCATTAGCAGCCAAACACAGCCGAGGACAGGGGACAGAGTCACCCGTGACACTGAGCTTGTTAGCTGTGCTGTTTGTGGGGTTTTCAATGATGAAAATCTGTGAGTGAAGTTTAAAGGTTCTCTATGTCACACTCAGTACCAGCAGATGTCGCACAAGAGCACCAGAATATCAGACCAAAAGAAATGGGCATGTCAGTGCGCCCTCTCTTCTTCTGTCTAGCTTTTTTTTGTTGCCAAAAGCCTTTTTATTCAAAGAACATAGATTCTTCAGTGAAGGAAAATCCAAAAGGTTGTCTCCAGAAGAACCCTGCCATCTCGGTATTAAAGTGCTAAAAGGTTCTTAGTCTCTCTATAAATGCAGGGAGGGCCAACAGTTTTAAAGGGTGGGACCTAAACCGTCCCTCACTCAACCATTCAGCTATAGGTCGGACAAAGATATAGAACAAAACCTTTTAACTGCTTTGAACATCAGTAAGAAAAACATTTACATATAAACAGGTATGCTGTTTGTCCAAAGCTGGACTAGCTTAATCACACATAAAAGAAAAAAAGCTGTTGCTGTTTTTGTTGTGATTTCCCTTTCTAAGGGAAAGGGTCGGTTAGACTACAGAATAGGAAATGATCAGGTAATACCACTTAGCAAACATTGATCCTCAGCCCACGCTCACTGGCCTCCTCTAAATGCCAATCACACTGAATTTCATTATTCCCCCAGCGTGTTCTTACGACCCGCAAATCATGAAAGATAAGTTCAATAATAAACTGTTTGTCCCAAAGGGTCGATTGCCTTTGTCATTAAATGAAGCATAAGAATATTGAATTTGGTGTAATGTGTTTGGAGTGACAGTCTGACAGGCTCTCATTCATCTCTTTTGTTGGTTAATGTTTGTACTCTTTTTTTACTCACTTCTGGAAGAGATTGTCAAATATCCATGCTTCTGTTGGTTTCTAATTAGTTCAAAGTCAGGCATATGTTTGATCTGTTTGCTTTATTCATTTGTATGTTTAGGGAAAGTGTGAAAGAGATGGCTTATAAGAGAAATACCCATGCAAACATTCACCTGCCAGCTAGAAGCTTCCACTGTTCACAAAAATAATCAACACACAGGTGTTATTTTATTAAATGTTTGAGGGAATTTCATGATTTCTGGGCTTTTTTTCAACTTGCGTAGCACCCACTGCTTCAATTACATTCATGTGTGCTGATGACAAAAGGAAATAGTCATAGAGGACTGTATCAATATTTGATTCTGTGCATTTCACACAGACTCAGAGGCGTACAAAACAATATGATCCTTCCCTGAGTTCTTCTTAGTTAATAAAAAAACAGCACATGAAGAATCCATCGGTTTAATTATTTTGAGAGAAATAGAGCAATAAAAAGATGGATTAGCAATATATCATCCTTCTGTGTGTTGGACTGTTTTATCGACTTATTGCTATGGCAGTAAACTACACTCATCAAGCTGCTCGGAGTGGCAGTCATTGGCTGCTTTTATTTACTTAATTACCTGAGCCCACTGCACATTTTAAATATTTGGATTGCATGCAGCCTGGGAGACGTGGCAGCTCTGTTCATGCCATGAGAGTTTGAATTTTTCATGCCTCAAGCTCACCGCTGCATCGTGAGCAACGGGCATTTTGAATAATTTAAACTCATATTAGATCTGCTCGCTGAGAGGGTTATGACCCGGGTTTAGTGTGAGAGTGTAAACGTGGATTATATAACATTTCCAGGAAAGCAGCGTTCTTTTTATGCCCCTCACACTGAGGTGCAGCACCATAAGTGTCCATGCTCCTATTCGGGTTTCAGCTTTTACCTGGATATACAGTATATTATATGTTCAGAGGTGTGTACACACAGCCCTGTGCCCCACTATTCCACTGCTGCTTTTAAATATGAATTCAAATGAGATGCATTTGAAAACAAATTGTAATAACACTGTGCATTGCTGGAGCCATGTTCTGCTCCCGATACAGAGTAATATGCTTGAATGCAAGATTTTATTACATTTTTTCACAAAAGCATGTTATATATTTTGGAAGAGAATACATGTTTTTGTAATGTGTAGAATGATTTGGATCTTGTCTAGATTCTAGAGCTGCAATAGGCTACCATTAATAATTCATCTATAAATGTACCTAGAGGACATCAGAACAAAACTATAAAACTTAGACCATTGCTGGAATGAATTGGCAGTACACTGCAGTACAAAACACATAAAACTACACTTTTTCCAGAGAAAAATATTGAATGTTGCACCTTGAACTCGTAGGACTCCTCGATGACCACCTCCAGGCGGCTGTGCTCTCCCAGGATGGGCTTCCCCATCTCTGCTATCCTCCGGGCCTCCTCCTCCTCAGGGCTCATCTGCCCCTCCGCCCCCTCTGCCGTGGAAGAGGTCATGTGGAGGGAACAATAAGTACACCGACCGTGAGCTCGGAGTGAAACTAAAGTGCGTGATATTTCCAAATTCCACACCTATCAATAATAGATAGTGAGTCAGCCTTATTTCGGGCTGCACTGAGGCTGAGTCTGAAATATGGGTGAGTGTTCTCACACAGTGGGGGGGGGGGGGGGGGGGGGGGGGGGGGACATGAGAGGATGACAGATGGATGATATCTGTTTGGTGTCTGTACATGTTGCGATATACCGCCTTGGTACTATCCAACAGTATACTGTTCGTTTTGTACGTTTCTTTTTCAGTTATGTCTTTTTTTTTTTACATGTTATTGATTGAACACACACTATAAAGATTCATTTGAGTAATAGCATTAATATAATTTGCTATTGTGAATTTATTGTGCCAGAATAATTGTAGAGTCAAAATGTGATATTGTGACAGCCCAACAAAGAGAACAATAGAACAGAGACACAGAAAGAGAGCAGGTGTGTCAATAGAAACTGCACGGTATTCAGAATATTTTGTCCTCAGAATATTTGATAGATTTGTACACAAGCTACCTCTCTTAACATCTGCACAGCTTTCCACTTTTCAGAACAATACTGTACATATTTAATTTATTATTCTGAGAATACTGTACGTATTTCTTTTGGTATATCTATCTATTCATATAAATCATTTATCTACATCTTTTTTTTCGTACTTTCTATCTTCTTTAACTGTGTTTTTGTCTGCACCATATACACCAATGACAGGTAGTTGGATGACAGGTTGGTGAATTGTATTGCTAAAATGCCAACAGAAAATAACAAATCAGATACAAAGAACAGATCAAATGTGTAAAACAAGACAATGTCACAGAGCCCAGGGGGACCTCATGTGGCTCGTTCTGTCTGACCAACAGTCCTTATATTCCCCTATTCACTTCACAATGACATACAGCAGAGGGAAGCAAATACTACATTTATCATTTCTTGCTAAATAAAATGAGCACATATTTGACCATGTACAGTATGATTGGTGCTCACAGGTGGAGATGATATTGTGGGGCCTCCTGCTGCTCTGTAAAGGTGCACCGCTGTTTGTGTCCTGCATGAAAACTAAGGTCAAATAAAAAAAAACAACACACAATCTTTGGCAAAACCTAACCGACTGCTTTTGTTGCATTGTTATAATTGTTTTCAAAAAGTTTAAACATTGACCATGTGTCCAAAAAGTAATCCAGGAGAGAATGTGTTTCCTTCAAAACATATTTAAAAATACAGTCAATTGTAAGGGAAGGTCATTCTGTTGAGCTGGAACTCTTTCTCCTGTTCAAATGATTTGCAGACTTATGAGGTGAGGCTACACTGTACACAAAGCTTAACCTTGGGCCTCTTCATATCGATCCCCCGCTTTCTTCCTGGCCCTCGATACAGTATCAGAGAGAGAGAGATAGAGAGCTCCCAGCAACTTAAAAGAGAGGGGATTAATGCTGACAGGAGGCCAGTTTGTGGTATTGATCCATTGCTATGCAAGTAGCTGAGTTCTTCTTAGAGAATGAACTGAGAAACTCAGCTAATCAGGGATTCAAACGCCTCTTCTCTTTACAAAAAGAGAGGTTACGTGGTCCACAAAGAGATTCTAGCCATTCATTCATTTTCTCATTCATCTTTCTGCTGAGAAGGATGGAAATAAAGAGACGTGGAGTTTTGGAGACAGTGTGTGTGTGTGTGTAATTATAAAAGTACAGTAGGAGTAAAGCATCAGATGGAAACCGTCCCTGCAGTATTCATTGACACTAGTTCCACCTCCGAGCAGCGTCTTTCAACCTTCACGAGAGGACAGGCTTTGAAGAGGTGCCCCCCCCTGTTAGTGAGGACCATGATGCTTCAGGGCCACCTGCTCGCTGACACTCTTCATGGCTGCCTCATCGCCACTCATTTACAGGAGAAAGCTGCTCAGCTGCTTTGTCCTCAAAGAAGCATTTAGAATTTTGTGAAAGTTTTAATGACATAATATGATGCTGGTGACTTGTGCTCAATGTGGAAATAAATCTTCTTTACTGGGTACTAAAAACCTCTCTGGCTGCGGGTTGGTTTGTAATTTGCAGATCTCATTTCCTGTGGATTTGGCGTTCCCCTGCTGCTGTTGGAAAAACGTATTTCAGACCTATATTCTGCTTTGTCATATGCTAAGAGTACTTCCCATTCAAAACTAATATGAGCTTAAATCAGTGGGATGCCAGTAAGCAGGGAGGTGACCCTCTTCTCCTTTGCAGGAAGACTTATTATAAATCCAGCTGCCCTAAATGAATGAACACATCCAGGACTCAGTGTTCACTCCTCCTCTGTTCAATCCCCAAACAATCCCCATCTGCAAATCACTACTCATGTTTAAGAATGACCTTAAAAAAATATACTACAAATATATTTTATATGGATATATTAGTAAATATTTGACATCATAGTATAGAAGCAGCTGCTGTAGGTTTACAAGCCTTGGCTGTTTGTAGAGTCATAACACAGGATCTATCTGATCAGCACATACACTCAGCTCAGTGTGTGGGAGCCAACTCATTTGCAAATATTTATTTCCGAACGGTTCCATTGTGCTGTGCTCACATTCACAGAGCGGAGATCACATGAACAACAAATAACCTCTGCTCCCGAGTGGCTCTCCCTGTCATACCTCAGGGGACTGGGTTCAGATCTGGTTCATTGTTATTACCACTTATAGAAGTAAAGTCCCCAGTTAGGAAGAAATGGTGTTAAGAATGAGTCATTCAGGCTGAAACCTCGTAAACCACAGACTCTGTGGCTATAACTCTGGATTTATGTCTTTTCAAAATGTTGTGAAAAGTGAAACAGATGAACTGTAGTGCATTTAATATTCTTTTCTTGCAAACAGAATGACTGAGTCAGGCTCAATAGCCGCTTTCACACCAAGTACTTAGCCGGTACTTGTCCCCGGTACTTGCTCCCCCCGAACTCTTTAGTCCCTGGAACTGTCCTAGTAGATCGCGTTCTCACCGGAATAAGTCCCAGAGGGAGGATTAGGCAAATGAAGCCGCATTTATCTGTGACTTTCTGTTTGTGTAAGAATGTGTGTGTGTGTGTGTGTGTGTGTGTGTGTGTGTGTGTGTGTGTGTGTGTGTGTGTGTGTGTGTGTGTGTGTGTGTGTGTGTGTGTGTGAGGGGTGGGTCAGTGGATCAGAGTGGCAGGTAACGCTCGCTGCGGCGATTAATCACCCGTCAAAATGCTTCTGACAAATGAAGCTGCTGGGTCGCGTCTTCCGAGTAAATTGCCAGAAGCGCCGACACCTCCTCATCACTCCACCGCTCCCATGTTTTCTTTTGTGTTGCCATAAGTTAGTCTCTCTCCGTTGGTGCGCTGGGCTAATGCTAATGCTAATAATGCTAATGCGAGCAAATAAAATGGCGGCTTCACAAAACCTTTCGGAGTTTTACGGGGCGTGGTTTGCAATTCGCCCAGTCAATCAGAAATTGTTAGCATGGCCGACACACCCACGAACCATTTCCTCCCCAGGAAAGTACTACCTCGCTAGCAGGGAGGATCTGGGGGTGAAAAGGTTTGTGCGAACTAGGGACTATAGGCCCAGATCCTTTATGGTGGGAAACCAAATCTCCCCCCCCTATTGGCCTAGTTCGGGGGGAAAAGTACTCCGGTGTGAAAGCGCCTTTTGTATCTTCTCTTTCTGAATGTGTTGATGCTGTGATGAGTCAGACTACAGCTCACAAATACTGCAGCGGAGGTTAGGGTGATGATAATGTTGTGATAATGTGAAGCCGTTTTAATGCTGGGCTCAGCCTCAGATTGTTATCTGAAACAATTAGTTTGATATTCAGCAAATATATTGATAAACTGAATAATTGTTTGTCATATTTTAAGAAGAAATTGCAAAAATGTGCTTGCTCCTTGTTTTCCGGGGATGAGGATTTGGTGCTTTTCTCGGTTAATTAAGCTCTAATAAAGACTGTTGGTCGGACTAAACAAGAGAGCTGAAGAATGTTTGACTTGTAACTATTATCCTCAGCCCTACTGAGATTTCCTGACAAATGAAATGAAGCCAGGAGCTTCACTCTGCAGGACGAGGAATATCAGATGCTCTTACCTTGGCTGAGCAGCAGCGCTGTAGAGAGGACAGAGAGGGGGGGGGGGGGGCAGTTAGTAATAGCACACATTCTGCCTAACAGCAACATCTAATAATACATCAAACTCCACTCCACATGTTGTGATGAAAGTGCAAACTCACAGACACTATTTAGAGACTTCCTGTGTGATCACTGAGCTGCAGCGTCACTCTCAGAGTGAGCCTCTGTCTGACAGCTGGGGTTTTTAATCTCTCTGACTTCAAGACAAGCTTTCAAAATCCAAATAAACACTCCTCTCTCTTCATCTGTGACTTTTTTTCCGAAACACAACAAAGAAGAAAGGAGGAGGTTCAGGTGAGTGTGTTTGTAATTGAAGCAGCTAAAAAGCTAAACAAACCCAATAAAAGACAAAAGGAAACCCACATGCTGCAGCACAACACAACAGACAAACTAAAAGAGCAAGAATTTAAACTTGGACAAATTTCATCTTGTTACTCAGCAGGTGCTACTATGAGCAATGAAACATTACGAAGTTCCACTTACATTGTAAAGTAAGCACTCTTGTTAAAGGTCCCATGTCATGGCCATTTCTACTGATCATAATTCCATTGTTGAGGTCTACTAGAATAGATTTACATTGTTCAATGTTCCAAACTCACATTGGTTTCTCATACAGCATCTCTGTATAGTATGTGTATTCACTCTGTCCTACACGGCTTGTTGGAGCTCCTGCCCCCCCCCTCCCTGTGAGCCCACTGTGCTCTGATTGGTCAGCTCGCCCACTCTGTTCTGATTAGTCCACCACCGTTACAGCGGAACATCAGTGTTTATGTGTTACAATGGCGTTTGTTAGCAACCAGAAAATGACACCAGTAATGACAAACAGATGAGAATGCTGCGTGGGGTCTGGGTGCCGTGTTGGCGGGACATTGCGGGGCTCGCTGCTCCGCCCTTTGAGGCTCGAGGAGCGGACAGTGTGAGCTGGGTTACTGGTGTCGTTTCCTGGTTGCTGTGTGGGGTCTGCGAGACACCGTGGAGCTCAGCCTGAGCACACACACGTGAGTGTGTGGCGAACTGTGAGGGAAGATCCACGGAGCCACGGCTGAGAAAAGATAAGGCTGAGTGAGTGTGTGTGTGTGAGCTCCACGGATTGGTCCATTTGGTCGTCGTTACTTCACTTACACCAGGAAGAAAAAAATGGAAAAAGAGAAATCTCCAACGAGGCGTTCTGGGGCAGCATAGACAGGTCTTTTCTGTGTTAGAGTTTTACTCGCTACAGGGTGTACTTTGAGGGTTTGTGACTCTGCAGACCGTTTACATGCAGAAAAACCTTCATAACACACAAGGGGACGGGTAATAACCGGAAAAGCATGACATGGGACCTTTAAGATGTTAATACAGATTAATATATCTTGTGGTTTTCTATATTACATTTAAGCATTAAGATTGACAAAAAAAAACCTTTGTGGGATACAAATAAAAAGTACATGAGCTGTGTTTTGTTTTTGTATGGTTATGTGACGATAACCAGAGGAATACATTTTGATAATCAGTACTAAAATCCTTTTTAAATATCTTTTACTTTGACAAATATAGAGAAACCCTTAAATTAAATGTTGTCATCCGTTTTAGAAGTTCTTCACTTTAACAGAATAGTTTAATGAATATACAGATATGTGAAATATGCAGATGTATGTGGTGTTCAGGGGCCTCATTTATAAAGGGATATACGCTCAAAAAATTGCGTACGCCAGTTTCTACGCAATGTTTGCGATTTATAAAATACTAACTTGACGGGAAAATGTGCGGTCCTCCACGCAAACTCTAACCCATGCGTACGCACTAAGCACACAAACGGGAGAGACGAGAAACTGTGACACCGTTGGCAGAAGGAAGAATGGAGAGAAATATGTGGAAATAATACCATCAATAAAATGTTACCTCATTTATCAAATATGAATTAATTTTCAAACATTGATTAAAGCCAATCTTAAAATGATTAAACAAACGCCTGTTTGAGACTCCTCAGTGCACACAAAAACATAACTTGGAGAAATAAATAAATACGGATATGTTATTTAAAACCACCTCGAATATGTTGTGTTAATGTTATGAAATGTTTTCTCATACATGATGCGGTAAGCAGGAGGACAGAATTACGTCTAAACTGACGCCGTTTTGCATTTCTATAGGTTGTAGATACGAGCATGGTTTTATATACTATCACGTTTAATCGTGTTTTATGCCGTTTGCCAAGACTTGATAAGTCGCTCGTAAAACACAGGATGTATGGAAACTAAGAACACCATATGTGGTAAATTGTACAGCTAATATAACACAACACATTGTATTTCCTTTAACTGGTGGATTATGGATATATAGTTGCTGATCGACAGCTGGAACACAAACCACCAAATACAACAAAATAATTCAGATCCAGTCGTCATGACTCCACTCCGGAGGGATTCCCCGATCATTTCTTACAGTTTCTCATCAAGGGGGGGTCTCCTGTCCCCGGTACAAACACACTGCCTGAGGAAGGTTATGTGTATTTTCTTTGTCAGTAACTTTTTTCGGACCACTTATTTATTTATTTTGGTGACGATCCGACCTCCATGCTGCTACTCTGGTTCAAACTGCATCCACCAAACAATATGATTTATCTCCACCTCCCCAAATTAACCTAAATCTGACACGGTGTGAGATGTCTTTTTTAGCTGTTCTGTCGTCATTTCCTGCGATCTTCTTCATGCAGTCAGTCAGAATGAATGAATGGGCGTTTCTTTGACTATGTATAGGCAAATATGGGCGTTACGAGTCGATTGTGATTTATAAAGGGAAACGGGCGTAGGGAGTGCCGTACGCACATCCCTCGCCGGTACGCAATGTTTTGTGAATCGGAAAATGTCGGAAAATGTCTGTACCTATTTTTTTGCTTTGTACTACGTAAGCAACCTTCCCACGTGAATCCTACGCAAGGCGTTATAAATGAGGCCCCAGGACTACATCTGTACTCAAAGCTGATCCTCAATAAAAACACAAAGTTAGATAAAAATATCTATCCCCTTGATATGTTGGTACATAACAACAACGGTTTCTACATATTGATCACTATTCATATAATATGAGCCCACGTTGCCCAGTGGTCTGGTCGTTTAATGTTCATAATCAATTATTTCTTCCTGAGCTTTATGATATCAGAGCAGATTAATGGATTGGCCATTTCAAATTGCTTTGAATGTTTGGCCTGTCCATCTACAGCTTTCTGTAACAGGGTGAATATCTGTTTATGAAGGAAGGAGAGTCAGTACTGAGATATGAGCACCATGTTGATGACACATTCTTAATCTAAATAATGTCAACAGAAACATTGATATTGCCGTGTGAGACTATTCAATTATTTGTCAAATTTTAGTTTGGGTGATAATCAGTGGGCTCTACATTTTGAAACTACAGTTATCATAATTTAGGGGTTTTAGGAAGTATTCTGAAAACAGTTGTCTGTGGGCTACAATTTTTGTGCCATTGGTTTACATTTTGGCAAATTGTAATGATTAAAAAGTATGCCCAATTTGCTATTCTGTAACTTAACTGTTCATGTTGTCATGTGCCCAGGGATGTACCTACAACTGATATTGGATTACTTTCATGCTGAAGAAAACTGCTTTAAAGGAATGTCTTTTTAATTATATTTTTGCAGCTTTATACACATTTGTTTGCAATGGAAAGAGACTTTCTGAAAAGCTATAGTATTTGTCTGTGTCCAGGTCATTTCCCATGAGAACTTCCTGTTTACTCCTCTTGATTTGTTTGTGGTAAGTCAAGTTTGACCTTGAGGTCAAATGAAATCCTGACATGAATCACAGCAACATCCTGTAGGGACGTACCTGAGATCCCTCTCTTCAGCCAGCGCGGCTCCTCCAGAACTATGAAGAAGTTCTCATGTTTTTCATATTCTTCATCATCAATGATCCTCACCTGGAACGTCTGACTGCATCCAAACACACACACAAGCACAGAAACTAAATAATCAACGACAAACTTAGAAGTATTTTGCATTTCTGTAAACAGACAAACAATCCTCCATGAATGCAGGGCAGCATCCACATCCAGTCCTGTACACACATACAAAGACACACACTGCCAGCAGACACACACAGTGAAGCTTTGTATCAGTAGGAAGGGTAACACACACGATGTTCTGATCAGGAGCAGCTGATGTGTGAATCACTGCAGGAGGATGCACTAATCTATTCAAATACAATTACATCGGTCAACATCAATTATATCTATAAATACTGATTCAGGTCTAAACAGGTTTCATTAAAAAAAATGTCACTGTTATAGTCATCATTCAGTCCTAATTTATTGTTCTGTGTAATAGTTCATTTGTGTAGTCCATAAGCATTTATAACAAACTTGATTCTGTAATTTTTCTGTGGATAAAGCATTACATAAATGTACACAGGGCCAAGAACTCCGGAAGAAGCCTTTAAATTATGAGACTAGATTACAGATAATTAGTTCTCAAATTTCCCTCTCAAGAATGTTTTAATGATCTTAAATGATTTAATATCAAACAAATAGTTTCTGTTTGCTGAAGTTACATGCAGTCAATCTCCTACACCTGTGTACAATAATGTGTTTACTGTGCATATTGTTACACATTATTCATCTATTCTACAGGCTCAACACAAATCAAAGGAACTGAGAGGAGAAAAGGAAAAAGTGACTAGGCAGAAGAGATGAAGATGGAGCGTGGGATATCCTGAAGAGGAGGAGCAGTACAGGGGAGAGAGATGAAGAGTCAAGTTGGTTAGAGGGGTGCAGAGGGAGGGTGGACCCGTGGCAAGACAAACTGAAAAGCAGTGAAGTAAAGGATTGCCCCCCTGACTGGAGGGCAGTGTTCTGTGAAGATGACAGAAGTGTAGGAGGGAGATGATGAGTGGAGGTGAGGATGATAATAAAACAGCAGGACAGTTACAGCAATGAGGAACTGCTGAAATATATTAACTGCACTACATCACTGCTCTCACCACACTTCTGCCATTACATTTCATTTACAAACTCCTCAAAGGCGATCATGTTCACAGCCAATAAACCAATAGACCAGACCGACATTACATCACATTTCATTTGGCTGACGCTTTTATCAAAAGCGACTTACAATAAAAACCATAAAGATTCAAACTCTGAACAACAAGTGCAGATATATTCCCTTCAAGCAAGATCTGACCGTTGTAGGTGCTGGTGAATTAGTTACAAGGCCTAAATTAACTTTTTAAAGGGCTTTTTTGTGCGCCTGCATTTTTTATTTTATTGCCAAGGTACAATCAAAACACATGGGTTCACAGTTTGCGATGGAAGATATGCAGAGCATCCATAACAAACTGTGAAATACCTGTATGTCAGTGTGGTAAATGGCTAAATGTGTGCAAAGCAACAGTACAGTACAGTCATAGTACAACTGGCAGCATCTGAAACAAACGAAACATCGGACTATAAATCCCACAATTGGCAATTTACAGGCTAGTTACTTAAGGACAGCACTTATCTGCCTTATCGATTCTGGTGATTTAATCAAATGAGCATTATACAGCGGTCAACCTTCATTTATTCAGGTTCAGGTAAGGTCACAATATAATTATTAGACTATGAAAAAACTGAAACGTTGACTTTAATTAAATGTATTATGTCAACAGATTTCACATAACTGTATTAGTTTAATTGAAAGCAATAATATTAGGTTTAAATAAAAAATATTGGGCAATAATATTCAACTTAAGATTATTGCTATCCGATGCAGCCAGTTGTACTATATGACTGTACAGCAGTTGCTTCACACACATTTAGCCATTTACCACACTAACCTAATACAGTTATGTGAAATCTGTTGACGTGCTACATTTAATAAAGTCAACGGTTCAGTTTTTTCAGTGTGTGTTTATCAAGAGAAAGAAGCACAGAAACATGTCAGACTGCTGTACCAACAGTCCCAGCAGAAGTCTTCACTCTGATTCTACATGACATGCTGAGGTCAGGGGTCAAACCTTCACTTCACTGAGCTGTGAGCAGAGGTTAAAGAACCCAGCTGCAGAAGCAGGAAGCAGTCACAGAGAGTGTAACTGTCAGAATCCTGGAGGTCTGTTCATCATGTCATCAGGCAGCCAGGCCACAGAGGGCAGAGAGAGGGAGCTGTGCTGCAGCTGAGGGACAATAGTCCGTCCAGCAGCAGAGATGTGCAAGGGTTTGAGAGTGAAGTATACTCAGATATGCTGACTGGGCTCTCTAACTACTGGAGGAACAAACTGGAATACATTTCCCCTGAAGAGCAGAGCCTTTCCATGGTCACAGATACAGACTTTAGATCGATCCACCCCCCACCACCCTTCAGCAGCTGTCTCACCTGATCCAGGTCTCTGTGACTCAACGACCCTGCCAGGTTCTATCAGATCAGAGCGGCTGGAATCAATATCACACAGGCAGCAGTCCGATCGAGTTTGACACATGTGCTGCACAAGCATAGAACCAAAAAAACCAACCAGTGTAAAATAAAGATGTTCTCACTAACAATTTCATATATATTCAGTATGCTGTGGAAGATGTTATCTAAAATAATATTTGAACATTTACATAAATACATATATTTTTTCAAGTTTACCTAATCAAACTTCAACTCATACAGAGTCAAACAACAAGAAAATGTGTAAATCTCACGCTGCATGACCAGCAGATTTACGTGTCAAAGTATCTGAAATCCTCACAAACGGTAGACAGATATGCACCTATTGTATTTATTCAAACCAAGATGTCATAACAAGTGTAAAGGGCTGTCCACACCAATTTACCAACCATTTAAAACCAATGTCAAGGGGATGGTGGAGTCTACATATATATCTTACAGAAACTACTGATATCGCTTGGATTACTTAGAGAGCGATTTGATAAACAATAGAAATCTAAATCCTTTGAACTACTAAAGTGTATTTGTTCCACACAGCAGGGGGCAAGTAGAAATGTTCTTTTAACACATTTCCTTTCAACTTTTTAACTGCATTGTTTTTCTTATTATTTATTTCCTAATCTAATTCTTTCTCTGCTCAGCACAACAAGCTATTATTATTATTATCCATTTTTGTCAAGGCAATGCAGTATATCAATCATCTTCACTGTTGATGCTAACCTCCTTTATTCATGGTGAGAATTACAGTGATGATCATTGGTTGGCAGTCTGTAGTGGTGCTAGAAGCTGTGAGGCTGCTCTCAGGCACAGTGGGGTTTGAGCTGAATGCTAATGTCAGCATTACATTTATTTTAAGGAAGATTATTTACCTACTAAAGGCAATGTTATGTAACCCCCCCAGGCTAAGAATCATTGATCACAGAAGAGAAGCAGTTCAAAAGGAAAGGAAGAAATCCGCAGTCATTGGTAAAATAAACTGTAAGCATCATCCATGTGTGCAGATTTAAAAAAGAGCAGCTTCCAGTTTCAGTGTCAAGTGCTCAATAATTCCTCTACCAAGCTGGAAGTAACTGCTTTATTAAAGCTTTTCTTCAAACTTCAACAGAAACGAAGGGTTACGTATGGTAACCCTTGTTATATAAACACAGGCGGAGCTCTCTACTGGACTCTATGGGTACTCCCCTCGATCCTATCATGCAAGCATTCATCCACTGAGACTTTCTAGACGTAGCCGGCCCCTGGGCGGGCCTACCTGAATGCGCACGCATCTCACCGTATAAAAGGAGGCCTCGCCTCCTTACTGTCATCCCTTACTTCTCTTCAGCAAGCAGCATAGGACAGACAGTGCCCCTAGGTAGAGGGCTCCGCCTGTGTTTATATAACAAGGGTTACCATACGTAACCCCTCGTTATATCTCTCACAGGCTCCGCCCTCTACTGGACTCTATGGGTACAGTGGGCGGAGCCCCGATGTATACACGCGCTGTCGTCCCACAACAACACTGTTCCATCTCACTGTTCCTGACCGGCTTTCTGGTTAGCAGCCGCTGCGCCTCACTCACCTCTCCCTCGGTCGTAACCATAGAGAGAAAAGAGGCAGCGGCTGACAGAGCACACCCTGACGCGCTTACCCCGCGGAGGTGTGCTATGACGTGGAGGACTCCCCCCTCCTGCCCTAAAGCAGGGGAAAAAGAGTCCTCCAGCCCCTATGGGCCCATGTGCGCGTCACGTCCCACGGGGCCGGGGGCCCGGGGAAAAACGTAAGCGCATTACGTCCGGGGAGGGGGTCAGATGCCCACTGACCCCCTCCCTCCTCACCAGTCCTGCGTTGCCCCAGCAAGCACAGACGATGAAAAGGAGCCAGAAATGTCCAAGAGATAAAACTTTAAGAAGGGGCCTGGTGTTGACCAAGATGCCGCCGTGCATATGTCCTCCAGACTTACGCCGTTAAATAAGGCTGTTGACACAGCCATGGCTCGTGTTGAGTGTGCACGGACCCCCGTGGGGAAGGCTCTCCCCGCCTGTCCGTAGGCATGTGCAATGCACTCGCAGAGCCAGCCTGCCAGGCGTTTCTTGGACAGAGCCTTTCCAGTTACCCCAACCCCGAAGCACACAAACAGCTGTTCCGTGTGTCTCTCTCTGACAGGGTGGCGCGTAGCCTGCCTGCATCGAGCACCACTCCCAAATACAGCGCCTGTTGGTGAGGTATGGGGGTGCTTTTTTTCCAATTGATCACCAAACCCAACTTGGTTAGGTGTAGGATCAAGTGGGCTGTATAAAACATTGCCCGTTCCCTGGACCTGGCCATAACTATGAGGTCGTCCAGATAAAAGAAAACTCTCATGCCACGGCCGCGCAGTGGCTGGAGCGCTGTGGCCACACATTCGCTGAATGTGCGTGGAGACAGGGAGTAGCTGAACTTTAGCCTGTTGTACTCGCAGGCCACCCCCTGTAAGGCAAAACGCAAATACTTTCTGTGTTTCGGAGCAATCTCGACATGAAAATAAGCGTCCCTCAGGTCGATGGTTGTAAACCAATCGCCTGGCTGCAGCAGTCCCAGTAACTGTTTTATAGTTAACATCCGGAATTTTCTGCGTGCAATGTGGAGATTCAGACTGCGAAGATCCAGAACGGGCCTGAATTCGCCTGTCTTTTTGGGAACCAGAAAGTACAGGGAATAGTGCCCCCCCTCTCTGTCTTGCGTGCACACAGCAGACACTGCCTGTTTTTGCACCAACGCCTGAACCTCTGCTGAGAGAAAACCTCGGGATCTCCCCTCGGGATGAGCGTTGCTACGTCTCGCCGGTGGAGGACCCAGAGCTCGACGTGGTGGAGATGGAGGACCTCGAGGAGGGAGTGCCCTTCGTGTTCGCCTTTCCAGCGGACCTGGCAGGTCCGAGCATCAGGGACCACCACCTTACCACCGCTGGGCGCTCTCTCCCTTGCGGAGAGACCTGAGGGCGAGCCAGCGGCAGCATGCGGCTGAGCTGCACCCTCTCTCCCTCCAGGCGACTGAAGCGCTGGGTGACCGAGGATATCGATCCGAAAAGCCCTTCCGTGGCAACGGAGGCCCCAAGGAGATCGTCTCGGTCTTTCTTGGCCAGTGCAGTCAGACCTAGCCACACGTGACGCGACGCCACGGTGGCCAGGGACATCACACGACCGGCTGTGGTAGCCATACCGTGGACCAGATTATTCATCTGGCCCACGCAGCGGTCCGAGTAATCACACCTGCCCTCAGGCGGGGGGGCGGAGGTGTCCTGCTGAGGGGTAATCAGCGACACTCCCAACACACCAAGATAACAAGGGTTACCATACGTAACCCCTCGTTATATCTCTCACAGGCACAGCCCCGATGTATACACGTGCTGTCGTCCCACAACAACACTGTTCCATCTCACTGTTTCTGACCGGCTTTCTGGTTAGTAGCCGCTGCGCCTCACTCACCTCTCCCTCGGTCGTAACCGTGGAGAGAAAAGAGGCTGCGGCTGACAGAGCACACCCTGACGCGCTTACCCCGCGGAGGTGTGCTATGACATGGAGGACTCTCGGGGCGCCATCTGCGCCCCGAGCCTGAATATCTTATCCAGATACTCAAGCATCTTGCAGTCACGCGGCAGCGGGGGCAGGGGTCTTCTCCCCTCTGCCCACCCGGCTGCCTGGGAAGCAGATGGGCCGCCAGGCTTTCATCCAGTGGGGGCACACCGGGACACTCCGTGTCCGAGTGGCCCTGCACCCTGAGGATTCCAGCCCATGTCGTCACCAGAGCCTTCGCCTTCAGTGGCTGTCGCCACATCGCCTCCACACACCGCCAGATAACGGGCGGGCCAGGCCGTAGAAGCCCTGACGTAGGCGGCTCACCGGCCTTGGTGGCAGCGGTGGGGGGAACGGCAAGCCTGTACGCTCTGCCGCCATAGTCATCACCGCCGGGAAGTCCTGTCGCGCAGACCTGTGCTGTTGGCCTTCCTGGTGGTCGCCGGAAATCCCAGACGACGAGGTGTCGTCATCGTCGTCCCTCTCCCCGACGCTCGGACTTTCCGCCCGGTCCGCTGGAATGGCGAACACGAAGGGCACTCCCGAGGGGCGCTCCAATGGTGAGTCCATTTTCTTCGTTGTCTTATATTTGTATCCTTCTCTCTTCACTCAGTTGTATCTCACTGCCTTGCTGAAGAGAAAGGGATGACAGTAAGGAGGCGAGGCCTCCTTTTATGCGGTGAGATGCGTGTGCATTCAGGTAGGCCCGCCCAGGGGCCGGCTACGTCTAGAAAGTCTCAGTGGATGAATGCTTGCATGATAGGATCGAGGGGAGTACCCATAGAGTCCAGTAGAGGGCGGAGCCTGTGAGAGATATAACAGAAGGTTAGTCTCTGGTCAGCTGATACAGCTAAACACACTATGGATTAACAGATCACAGCTAAAAGCTCTCCAGTCTAACGCTGAGTGTACTGACAAGGCCCACAGAGAAACAGACTCAATATCTGGAGCCAAATTGCAGCGTAGTGGTTCTATAATGATCGAGGGTAACGAGGGTTTCTTGACTAGAAATCAAATCCTAAATCCAAGTTCCATTAGTATTCCCTCCTGCCGTGCAACGATGTGGGGACATCGACTTTTGGGGTCAAAACCAAACCATTTCAAGTGTGAATGATACTCCCCTCTTTTTAGCTATAATGAATAATGTATAGGATTACACAAGGATGAAGTAAGAGAGCGGAAAACAAGACAAAGCTAAAATGGGTGAAAAGGAGGAAAGAGGGTTGAATGAATAAGAGGAAAGATGAGGCAAGATGAGAATGGGAGAGAAGTTAAGGGTGATGACGGACAGAAGAACTACAGAACACAGACTAACACACACATTATTGCTCTAAATCAGCCTACTATCACCTTAAGAATATATCGAGGATTAAAAGACTAATGTCACAGCAGGATTTGGAAAAACTTGTCCATGCTTTTATCTTCAGTAGACTGGACTACTGTAATGGTGTCTTTACAGGTCTCAATAACAAATCTATTAGAATATGGGCTCAGAACAGTCTCATAATACACACATGCACACAGAAGGATTCACACTTGTATTTCCGGATCCACACTTGTGTTTTTCAATGCACACACAAATGTGTTCCGTTTCATATACATGTAAATAAAATCCAAATACAGAAAAAAGTTTTACATATGTATTTTTGATCCTCACATATTTGTTTTCCGTTTAAAACCTCTGCACCTGCAACACAAACCGCTTTCTGTGCATGGATCGCTGTGCATTCGTGTGTGGGTTTTTTGAGACTCCCCTGACGGTGACCCGATTCGTACTTGTAATTGTTTCTATCTATAGCCAATCAGATGTCTCCTCAATTCTAAGCCAATCACATGAGCGCGTCCCCACGAGGGTATGATTTCTTGCGTTCATGACACTTCATATACGCATTTTGCGAAGTCCGGAGCAGGGTGGACAGAATTTATTTTACCGGACAAATTTGAAACTTACCGGTCATGTTTCAATAATAATAATAAGAAGAAGAAGAATTGTGTAGCAGAGTTTCCGTTAGCAAGTAATTACCGGACTATGACCGGATGGCTAATAACACGGGAGTAAGGATCATCTCTTTTCCTCTCTCCCTCCCTCTCTCCTGACAGCCCGTCAGTTTCTCATGCAGCTCGCTAAAACTTCACTTGCGTTTATGTCCATATCGATCAGATCCAGCTCTCCTGATCGGCCTTTATAGAGAGCACCGATCAAACTATTTAGAGTGAATATCGGCCGATAATGACCGGCGGGGCTCCCCCCCGTTGACAGTTCACTGTCTAGCACTGGCTTCGTAGTGCACTGATCGATTAGGCTAAGCTAACCTGTAGCTGCTCCCTCCACACTCACAACAACTTCATACAGACATAAATAAAGCAGCTGTATTCGCCATACAGGAAACACACATTTAAAACGGTTTTGCCTGCCGTTTTTGTGTACACAAGCATTCATTAATGGTTCGGAAAGTGGCAATGTACTGAGAGTGGAAGTGTCCTGAGATTAGCGCCTGCAGGCAGGCTCCATGGACCTGTCAGCTCCGGACAGCGCAAAATGCGTACATGAAGCGCTACGTTATGAACGCAAGAAATCTACCCTCGTGGGGGCGCGCTCATGTGATTGGCTTAGAATTGAGGAGACATCTGATTGGCTATAGATAGAAAAAATTACAAGTACGAATCGGGTCACCGTCAGGGGAGTCTCAAAAAACCCACACACGAATGCACAGCGATCCATGCACAGAAAGCGGGTGTGCAGGTGCAGAGGTTTTAAACGGAAAACAAATATGTGAGGATCAAAAATACATATGTAAAACTTTTTTCTGTATTTGGATTTTATTTACATGTATATGAAACGGAACACATTTGTGTGTGCATTGAAAAACACAAGTGTGGATCCGGAAATACAAGTGTGAATCCTTCTGTGTGCATGTGTGTATTATGAGACTGTTCTGAGCCCATATTAGAAAGCTGCAGCTAATTCAGAACGCTGCTGCTCGAGTCCTCACTAAGAAAGTGGATCACATCACTCCTGTTCTGAAGTCTTTACACTGGCTTCCTGTAATTGATTTCAAAAATATTGCTGCTGGTTTATAAAGCATTGAATGGTTTAGGCCCAAAATACATTTCTGACCTACTGCTAAATTATGAACCATCCAGAACTCTCAGGTCTTCAGGGACTGGTCAGCTTTCTGTCCCCAGAGTCAGAACTAAACCTGGAGAAGTTCAGTTATTATGATCCAAATATCTAGAACAAACTCCCAGAAACCTGCAGGTCCGCTGCAACTCTTTTTGCCGCGGCTTTTAATTGAGCTATTCCTATCTTAAACTGCACTGTAACTTTTATGTTACATGTATTCTTTCTTTTAATGTTTATTTTATTATCTTTGCTTTTTAATTACTGTTTTAAATGCCATTTTCTTAATGTCTTTCATTTTTGTAAAGCACTTTGAATTACCTTGTGTTGAAAGGTGCTATATAAATTGCCTTGCCTTGCCTTGCCTATAAAGTTGTTGTATTCAGTGGACACAAAGCCACCGTGTTGTTAGGTCTTGTCTGCCTGGGAATACAAGTCCGATATTCTCTTTGCTTTAGGTTCTGTTTTGGTCTCTACCAGGGTCTTTTTAGCTGCTAGATATTCAATTTTCTTCAGCAGCTGCTCAATAACTTTGTGTAGACAGCACTCAACAGGGTCGATGAGTGTTTGTTCTTGATGAGACCAATATATGAAGTGGACCCAAGAGAAATTGCAGAATTGGGTGCACTACAAAGTAATGAGTCATTTAATCCATTATGCAAAGGGTAGTGTGATAAGTGAGGGTCTAAGGTTGTAACACAGTGACTTTTTTTGACCAGCAGCAGTAGACCAAGGATGTCAAGGGATTTTCTCAAATGCGAATGTGTAAAAATGTAAAATGTTTTGGGATACATTTGTTTGTCATCAGTGTGACTCACGTGGTCTGGTCGTTGTTGAACTCCAGCTCCCCTCTGGCCTCCTCGTAGTCCTCCCCCTCCTTGGCGGTCCCGGACTCGGTGCTGTAGGGCAGGATGACGGTGCCGCGGGCCCCTGAGTTGCGCACCACCGTCACCTCCATGGTGCCCACGCTCTCGCTCACCCGCACCATGCGATCGCTAAATGTGAAGATGCCGGCGTGGTCGTCGTCCAGGATGGTCACCGTGGCAACCAGGGGCTCAAGCAATCGACCTTTGGGGGCGGCTCCCACCTCGTCGCTCTCGAACATGCCTTCTGCGTCGCCAACTCGCAGATTCAGCAGGCGCACAAAGAAGTGCTCGTCCTCTTCGAATATGTCGTCATCGATTATACCGACCTGAGACACAGAGGGTCGTTAGGTTTGGATTAGATGGTGAACACTGTACTCAACACACGCTGTACCTTAAATGTTTCTATCATTTAAGAAATAGAGCAGGATGGATCGCGGATGCATAGTGGAGAGCAGGCTGTATGTTGTGTCATGATATAGGGGTCACCATTCACCCCTATATCATGACACAACATACACACAACATTTTGTATGCAAACAGATCACATTGACCACACTGACTGTATCTTTTTAACTAAATAATACAAAATATATATGTTTTTAAGAATCAGTACAATATTACAAAATATAATTTCCCAATACTCAAGTGTAACATGATTTCTTGAACCCCTGGTGAAAAATCCACTCTTTTTTATATCTATATCAGAAGGCTATTTCTGTGGATATACAGCGGAATAGAGAAGGTGTGGTTAAATAATGAATGACTTTTGTAGTCAGTTCAACTCAATTCAACTTTTAACCGATGGTACATTTTACAAAGCAGCATGTAACGAGCACAGTTTATATGGATACTTGCAATTTAATATGATTTTTAAGATAGCAGGCATGCACTATTTATACACAATTCATTATGCAGAATCCTTTTAGTCAAGACACAGAGCTCTAGAGGGGAATTGTATTTTACAGGAGCTAATGATGATTAGAAGCTACCAGAAGAAATCTCCCAGATGCCCTGCTGTTTAATTGTAAATATTTAAAGTAACTGAAATGAATCCTGGTCTGGGTGTTTGTGCTGTTTATTGAGAAGAGGCAGGGCTAAGATATTCTCCCTCAGCACATAAACAGAGGCTCCAGTTACAACTCTCAAACTGAGAGATTATTATCTGATTATGCCATCGCGCAATAACTGGAGGTGGGTGCGATCAAATCAGATTACGTTGGCATCGTAATCCAATGATCCAGACCACATCTTTCCATTCAGATTGAAAACATACTCTGGATGTGGTCTGTCAAGAAACATGAAGAGATGAAGAAGGGGAAAATCTGATTCCTTTTTTGGAGATTTTATTAATGTCTTAACAATAGAGTGGTGCAGGAATGAGTCCTGAAACCACAAAATGGGTTAGCATTTTACCACATCTGGTTCAGTCTCAAAGTGAACTGTATTTTGAACGTGTTTTTGGTTAGATGCATGAAATATGTGTTGGTTACCCACTGGTAAATATCAGAAGCTTCTATGTGCCACAAAAATGGCGGTTGCTAATAAGTGGCCAAAGATTTGCCGCCTTTAGTTTAGCGGTGGTGATGCGCAGCCATGTGTTTCAAGGTTTCAAGGCTTTTATTAGTCATACGTGCATAGCTACAATGTAGTTATGACGATGAAAATCTTAGGTCACAGGCTCCTCCAACAGTGCAACACAATAAACAGATAAACAGAACAAACAATTGTGCAAGTAAATAGTAAATGCAAAAAGAAAAATAGTAAAAAAGTGAAATAGTGAAATAGTGCAAGTGATTGGAATGATATATTAGATAAATAATTCCTAAATAGCAGCCAGATTAATGTTATGATGTTGTTTCAAAAGTTCAGGTGTTTAACAGTCTTATGGCCTGTGGGATACAACTGTCTCTGAGTGCAACACAGTCTCACTCCCTGATAGAATGGCGAAGTCACGCCCATCTACTTCCGGTCCATGGGACCTTATTACGGAAAAATTATGTATTGAAGTCAATGGAGAGAGAAAACGTATCTTTCGATCCAGTTTTAATTGTGCCATGAATTACACATATGATGTTTGTCAATCTTAAAAAATCATTTCCATGTCAAAAAAGTCACAGTTTGTCGTAAAACTGTTGAAATATAAGACTATGAAAAATACGCAACTAGAAAGACTACAAATCCCAGAGTCGCGTAAGTGATGTCACTCATAACTGATGTCACAATTGTTTTCCTCCACTAAAATAGAGATAGCTAAGATAAGATAACTTTAACAAGATGCCTGTGTGCTTAGTACCAGGTTGTAATCATACCAGCAATGGGTCTTGCTCGTTCTTTCGCTTCCCGTCTGATGAAAGGACCAGGAGAGGCTGGATCAAGTTAGCTACCTAGCTAGTAGCAAGCACGTTAGTTAGCATTACAGCCGGCTTAGCCTTGTCATTTTTATTAGCCTTAACATTAAGTAACATTAACCTGTTAAGCCCTGAGCCTGTTTTTCAGGTCTCAGGCTCGAAAATGACATTCCCAGAACAAATGACCATATCTTCCCTTCTAAAAGGGTTAAATTAATAATCTTTTTTCTCAAAGTAATGATAAACCTGTGAGTTGGATGAAGAAAAGTCAGAATCAATATAGATGTTTTTTATTTTAAAGAAAATTCAGATTGAACATAGTAAAAAACTGTAAATTATAGTGTCCGTCCAAAAATTATTTTTTACTTATAGTGAAAACTACCCTTGGATGATGGTAAGGTAGACTAAAAGCTTTAGGAATCCAAAGTCCAACATATAATAAGTACCCTGTATCAAGACTGATGCAAAACAAGTGACATTTGACCTTTTTAGAGAGGTTTAGCAAAACAAACTCCACCTCTGAGGTGATTTGGGTGGAAATGGGGGTTTTACCGTTTCTCTGGAACCCATTGGTCGATTTTGGTGATTGACATCTCTTTATGACTGTTAGAGCCAATAGAATCGAAGGGGAATTTCTCCACACACACGGTAAAAAAGGTGGGGGCTTTGCACATGCAGGATTGCATCAGAGTGAACCTATCTCTCGCTCTGACATCTGGAAACGGAAAAGCAGTTTTATTGCTTATGGATTATCAGAAATCATTTCAAAGGGACACAGACACATTGGATTAACCTATGGATTAACTTCAGCCGCGTTTTTATGGTTTTAATGCCATTGAAGACCACTTTTGACCAGACAACGACACAGGTAAGTCATGTTAGCGTTTTTAGCTACCTAGTGCCACATGTTTTGATGTCTGTTTTTGTTTATAAAGTTGCGAGTTCTTATCATAGAGTGATAATATATGTACCCATCGATTCTGTGTCATCTCACGATCAGATCGATGGGTTGGATGTGCAGAAAGGATAAATAATAAGGTTTTATGAGTGAGTTTCGGTGCAGTAAATCTGTTAGCATTTTTCGCTCGTTGCTAATTCAGATGCTCAGCGTTAGCATTGTGTGTGTTTTTTTTTTTTAAATAAATAAAAATGATCAGTTAGATGAATTTCTTCCCGTTACATGGATATAAAACATTCACAGTTTATTAAATGTTAAGATGCCCTCAGACACTGTTTCCTGCAAGATGTTGCGGGAGGGCCCCGGTACCGGGGTCTCTCAGGCTTAACAGGTTAACCAGAATGTTAAACAGTAAGATTAGTAGTCATATTTCGTGAACCCTTTGAAGAGTACTGTCACACCGGTGTGATCATTCTATAATACACCATTTAAGCCCGGGGGAGAAATGCTAACGCTAACGCTACATTAGCATCGACGATCTTTTGAGAGGGACGTCCCCCTTTTTCCCCTGACACATTTCGTACGGAATGTCTTGTCAGAGTGAGTGATGTTGGGGACCCAGCTGTGCGCTCTCCTGCCTGTCTGCACGCAGAGAGCTGCTATTCCCCCTCCTTTCTGTCACTGGGCAAAGTGTGACCTTCGTCTCTACTTTCTCACAGCGGCAGGTATGTATTATTCCCAGCCTTCGTCCCCTCATGGTAAATATTCATGTTATGCTATATTCCAGGGACTGTGATGCGCCATTCGCATGGCACAATAGGCATGGGTTATTATCTGAGCAGGTGTGTCTGTGCTTCTTGTACCGGGGGGACCCAGTGGGGCGCAGACTACATCTTGCTTCGCCCTTAACCCAATAGCGATAGCCTTAGAGGGCGAAGCCATATACGAAATAGAACTGAAGTTACCTACTGTAACTCCAGCTTCTATGAGTATTGGCGTAGCCCTCTAAGTTCTGGGCCCCACTGGCTCCACGAATAGCTGAAGAAAAGTTATTTTGTATGGGAGCAGATTGTCGGGCCTCCTTCCTATTTATACCGGAAGGGAGCCCGAGGGTGGGGCCCACCTTGCGGGCGGGCGTGGACTACAAGTGTTTCAGTGCTGCGCGGGTGCGCAGGGCGATTACCCAATAGTGATAGCCTTAGAGGGCTACGCCAATACTCATAGAAGCTGGAGTTACAGTAGGTAACTTCAGTTAGTGTTTGTATGTGTTTGTTTATACTGTGTGTGTCTCTCTCTCCCCCCCACCTGCCTGCTGGTCTGCTCTACACGGCTGGGAGCAATCTCCAATCAACCACACCTGCAACCTGCTCATCAGCCACACTATGAAAGCCTGCAGCCTGCACTCATTCCCTGCCGGGTTGTTGCCGTGAAAGGTTTGTTGCGTGCGGCTCTAGCTTTTTGCCAGCAGATCTATTGACAACTTTACCTGCTTTTGCCTCACACTCATTTTTGTGTCTCTCCCAGGAGGAATCCAAGGCCTGGCACACAATCAAGACCAGCCAGGCCTCTCCACCCTGGAACAACTGTTTCCCACTGCTGCCATAACCAACCTCCACTCCCAGCTCCCCTTTTCTAATAAACAAATGTTACGCTCACCAGCTGATTCCGAGTCATCCTTTTACATGTGTTAATAGTCAAATTCCAATAGTTAAGTAAACTATCAATCCTAGTGACCACAGTGGTCAGTCCACTTACCCAGGAATTTTGAGTTGAACAATTACAGGAATATTATGTCTTTATGTTCTAATAATGTAAAAATATTTTACAGAACATTTGCATAATGTTTTAAACATAAAGCATGTTATCCTTCTCTAAAATAATAACATTCTGGCAACATAAAAAAATCTAACTTGCAGCTGAAAACGTTTTAAGAACAGTAGGGCATAATGTTCTAACAATGTTATCAAAAACATTTTAAGAATGTTTTTAGAGACCGTTATCCTACCTTTCAGAAGAACATTCTGAGAACCAAAATAAAATCTTCTGCTGAAAACGTTTTAAGAATAGTAGGGCATAATGT